GGGGTGCATATAGCTCGTGAGATGACATGAAAACGAGAAATTTCAGAGGGAAGAAGGATGAGTGCGAATATCAGTAACAACTTTTAAACTAAAATTAAAGAACTGTTACTACTCATTTCCTACAGAACCCTTCCCCTCTGAAAGTAAACAAAACTATACACTACCAAACTTTATGACAAGCAAATAGTTAACTTTCCTGTTGTATTTTTGTTTACATGGAATGTTTCAGTATAAATGGTTCAAACTTCCAAAGCAGAAAGAGAGGCTTATTAATTACTTTTTTTACCAAAAAATTGTGCTGGCAATTTTTATTCAACGAACCCCCACATGTTACGTTTACCTCTGACTTTTAGTCAACTCTTCGTGCGCCTGTGTTGGGCAGATACACGAAACCCCTCTGATTGGTTTATACCATGACCTGCCGATCACAACTCAGTGAGGAGTTGCCTAACAATCAGAAACAAACACCACATGTGTGTCTTCGATAGATGAAATTTCCCACCGCATGTTCATCGGCAAACGTTGATCACTTTCGACCGCTCTACGTGGCTTAGAAGTTAGTAACATTTAGCCCGAAACTCTTCCAGACGTTGCGGTGTTTTAAACTCCCGCGCCCGTGATTGGCCCACTGCGTGGCACGTCGCGGGCGCGGGCGGGGGGGGGGCGTCGCCGCGCGTGCGTGCGTCCGCGCGTTTCCACCGCGCGCGGTCGGGGGCGTGCGCGCGCGTTTTTGTTTTAATTAGCCACTTGTCGGCCTTTATCGCGGGCGGCCTGCCGGCGGCGTCGTCGTCGTCGTCACAGCGTCCAAAAAGATGGCAATAAATCGCGACGTAAGAGGCTGCTGGTCCAATTAGGGCCGCCCGGAGCCACCGCCGCGGGCTGCGACTAGCCGCTCTAATCAGCCACGGTAAATTCTCCGCCTCGGCCCGGGCCTCGGGGCGCTGAAGTATTTTGTATACACATACAGAGTGTAATGGAAGCTCTCGTATATCCATAAAATTATGCTGGCCGGGAGATTTGTGAACGAGCTGTGCGGTGAGAAGTTGGGAATGTCAGGTGCGCTCCGGGAGAGTAGAAAATACGCAGCTCTAGTGCGAATCTCGGTTTGAGAATTATTATTATTATTATTATTATTATTATTATTATTATTATTATTATTATTATTATTATTATTGAAAACAAGACTTTTTGTATAATGTTCTACTATTAAAATATCATTCTAGTAGTGCAAATGTTGGGGCAATAAATTTCCCCTCTTATGGAATGTGAACATGAAACAAAACGAAAGTGAGATATAACGTAGCATGTCAAAATATAATAAGGAAATGTATTTAGTCGACTACATTGTCAACACAATATCTCGTGATCATATTTGACGTATTAAAATGAGTAACAGTGAATTGCACAAGTGGACCAGTAACAAAAAATGCAAAACGGTTTGAAAGTTGAATAAGAATTGTAATTGTTACACGAGCATTATTATAATAGGCACGCACAGTAGTGAGAAAAATTGCTTTCGGAAACGAACTTGTTGCTAAATTCCGTGGTGGTAGCTGTTTATCACACAGTAGTATCACTGTCACAAGAGAAAAAAATTATAACCTTAAAAACGTAGGTTTGTGGAATTAAATGAAGTACTATGAATTCGAGATTATTAAAGACAAGAACAGTGGAATCAGCATAGAACTCCTCTAGAAAACACCTCATCACCTTAATTCCCGTATGGTTTCTGAATAGAGGAAATTAGTGTTAGTGTTCCGAATATTTTCTTCGTTATGTTAGTTTAAGAATGGAGAAAAACTACCTGCAAATTTCCCTATGTTATTACTCCACGTCAAAACGTAAAATATGCTGAGTTGTAGCTTTTTGCTTCACCAGATTTTGCAATCCTTCCCAAATATTTCTCTTGCGACCCAACCAGACGGACCCGCTTCCAGAAGCGGACGGCGGCCGTGTAAATCGCGCGCGCTGGGGTCGACCGAGCGCGCTGGGCCGAACGTCCACCGCGAGTCGGTCGATCGCGCCGCCCCCCCCCTTCCCCCCCCCGCTCCCTTGGCAGCCTCTCAGCCGGAAGTGGCGGTAAAATATGGCGCAGCTTCGCCAAGATAAGGAGAACGGGATTAAAAATACACAGGCGCCTCCGGCCAACGGAGTTCAAGTTGTAAAAAGGGGAACTTGAGCGGGAGAAGAAAAAAGCTTCTCCTCTTGCTTCCAACTAGGCAACACAAAAATTAAAAACAAATATTAACAATTTCTTGTTTTTAATTTATTAAATAATTAACAAAGTTAACCTGCAGTGACATGAGTAATTTTTTATGAAACCAGAATATTGTTGACTTTGAATTTAAAAAAAAAAATGTTGGACTGACCCCGTACCGCACATTCCAATGCCATGTTCTCAGTTACGTGCATGCATACCTCGCTTAACTCGTAATACAGAAAGGGACAGTACACAGATCTACGCAGTCGCGTGCTCTTTCCGCTTGCGTGTCTAAAATTTTTTTCCGTTTTCCCTATACTTACGTCAATTACTTTATCAAGTAATATCGATCAAGAGTATTGATGCAATTAGAATGTCGACCGAACATCTGCGACAAGACTAAACTGTAGTCCATTTATTTTCTGTGGAGGTACATTATACATTGCTGGACGAACTATGTCTATTAAATGTTTCTATACAGCGCTTACAAATAAGGGTTGTTCATCCATGTAATTTGGTATTAAATAACGCTCATAGATGCATCGATATGAAGTACATCTTTCAAGGATTATCAAGGGATCTAGAAAATGTATATTGCATGCATTGTATACAGAACTAACATTAAACGCAATAAAAAGGCTTAAGCAGAATGTTTATTGATGAAAAGACAAAATGAAGGGCTGATAAATTTAAGTTAAAAACTGATCTACAAATTCCCACCAATGAAATCCATCAACGCAATTCTATTAGTATAAAGTTCAAATCGACTTTTCCCTTGGTGAGCACAGAGCTACACAATTATATGGTATGCTTCCTGTCAACCTTACGGTCCCGGTGACCGACAAGAAAAAAAACAGTTTGGAATTCCTTACTGTCAAAACGATTCCAATTTTATTTTCATTTAATCTGGATTTCCATAGAATGAATCAATTTTAATGTATTCAAAAATTAAAATGGTTGAAATTGCAATAGTAAATTTTCAAATTTAAATTATATAAAAACATTAAATATACTGTAGTTGAAAGCAATAACATCATTTTACAGTTAATTTAGGTAACCTCGAAAATAAATGTAAAATTTAACAAACTTAAATAATTCAATTGAGCTTACTTTTGATCATTTAACCACGCTTTAAGTACTTGACTCTTAAGTATTTACTTTTTTGAGACAACCAATGAATTAAAAAATGTTTAACATTTTGAATTCATTGCAAGACTCCCAGCTCTGCTTGAAAATCTCGACGCCGATGCATCGCTCAGTGGGAAAGCAAAGGAGGCGAGGCGAGGCGAGGGCCGGAGTGGCGGGCAGCGAGAGGGAAAGGAGCCCTAACGGAATAGCCTGGCCGCCGGCGAAACAGCCGCGCGCGGCCCGCGTGGCGGGAGACCTTTCCTCCTGGCCGAAAAGAGCCCGAGCCTCTCCAAAAGTGAACGTCTTCCCCCTTCCTTCCTTGGAAACCGCATTAAAGTGGTCCGCGCTGCGCGAGGATTAAACACGTTCCTGAACGTACATCTGATGTTACATAATATGTAGCGTATTTTTCGCAATTTAAACTCGTAGAAGACAAAATATTATGTATTAATTTTTTTTCTTAAAACTACACCATTGAAAGATGAGCCACGGAGAAACTGAAACTTTGCTACTTAACGATTTTTGATACAGGCCTTCCAGCCGAAATGAAGCATTTGCAGCGTGCACGGGTGCGTGCGGGCTCGTGTAGGACCTCAACCCCCGAATGCGTCGGCGGCGCGGCGTGGGTCGGGTCGGCCTCTCGCCGGATCGATCATAAAGAACGCGCGCAGCATCCACGGGCGGCGGCGAGCTCTCGGCCCGCGCCCAAGGTCACGTAATTGCTGTTACGTATGCCGGCGACGGACGCCGCTCCGCGCCGCCTGGGGCCGCCCGCAACACCCCGGCACCCACCCGGGCGCGCAGCGGGACAGCGGCGAGGCCTTATCGATCCCCCCGATAAAACTGCTCTCGAAATTACTCGCTCCTAACAACTGGAAAGCCACGTGGCTGAGCATTGCTTTTGCAACGAAAAAGTCTGCTCTTAATATCCCGTTTTTAAATATCGGGCACTCGTCTAGAATTTATTTTTGGTTCTAATAAAATATTATTCTCGTAACTGTACGAGTACATAATTAAATTGACCTTTTACATGAGAAAACAAAACTTAAATGTACGTAGAACAATTTCGTCTTAATACCCTTATCCTTAACAATATCATGACAATAATTGCGTTTATTTGTTTGGTGTCGGAAGTGTAATATTCTCATAAAAAATAATCATTCCGACAGGATTATTTTTTATTAAACACGAAATCTTTTATTTAAACATTGACACAATACAATAAACATGTACACTTAAGAACACAATATTCTTAAACGTTATGTTAACACGTGACTTTCTCCTCCTGGCATTTTCAACTAAACTGCATTCACTACATCGTATATTGCACTTCATTAGAAGTTCCATACACACTTTATTCAATGATAACGGCTTCATGGGATTAAAATTCACGAAATTCTGGTTTGCTACTCGGCTCATACAAACTGAAAATGAAATAAGAAAGAGAAAACATTATATTTTTCCATAAGCACAATTTACACTCTTTTTCCAGAACGTTCTTCATATTTTCTTCCGTGAATTTCCTTCGATGTATGTAAGAGATTAAGGAAAAAAACACGAGTTAACCGCGCAAAACGAAAGCACTTCTCAGAAACACCACACGGAAAACCCAACATTCGTAAAATGAGCAACGATTTACGCAAGAATCGTACCATTAAATCAATTATAGTACCTGCTTGGATAGTCCGAGAAATTCGTCCTGCACAGCGCCATCGCTAAAGCACATCATGGTCTCGCCACGGCGGTGTGCTGCGACAGACTTGCTAGACGGACTGCACCCCGTGAACTGCAGAGACAGGTGCCACCCGTCCCATGAACGCTGCCAAATTCTGCGAAATCTCTGCCTGCCGTGGTCGGCCCCTCCCGCCTAATCGGCTTAGCCTTCACACTTCGCTACCCTCAGCGGTGACTCCTCTCGCCGTTAGGGCTCCTCCCCGGAGAAAGGGCCAGGCCGCGCCCGCCGAGCGGGAGGTGAAAGGGTTATCGGGAGGGGCGCTCGCTTGCTATTGGCACGAACACCCAATTTCCTATTATACGATGAATATCTGGACTATTTTCCTGTTTTGTAAATAGCATAATATTTCTACACTTTGCTAACAATTAAGCATAGTCTACTTGAAAAAGTTTATCCTTACTCAATTGTATTTACTATATTATTTGTTTAAATATATTTAATTTTTAAGTTTCTAATTTGTGTACTATTCGTGATTTATTGTAGCTAACTTCAGTTTCCTTCATCGAAATTTTCGTGTCTTCAAACCATCTTGAAAATCGGTAACAACAGGGAACTAACACACGTGACTAACTCCTACAAGTCACGGGGAGGGGGGGGGGTCGCCTCCTAGGCAAACAGGTTGCAAAAAAAAGAAAGTAGCTTCCCTTTTGTTGGTGTAAGGTGGCTGCTGAGAGGTTTTCGGAATTTTGTTAAGACACAGTTCTAGCACTAATTCGTAATATAACGAGTATTTAGCAGTAGACATTCCATTGCTTATTGCAGCATTATTCCATTGCAGCAGACATTCCAAAGTTATATTAGTACTATTTAACACTCCTTTGGAATTTTTTTGAGCACCAAATACCGATTGAACGTAGTGTAATACAAATAACATACAAATAACGAAATAATTGTTGCCTCAGATTTATACATTTTCATACGGCATATGGATATTTTAGTGCACAAGTGCAGCCCTACGTCCTCAGCGAGACGAATCCGGTGCCTGCCTCTCCCGAAAGGGACCGCCGCTGCCCACGTGGCCGCCGGGTCGCGCGTTTCGCCCGCAGCGCGCGCGTGCTGCTTATGCAGGAATGCGCGGAATGCCACGTCCGATGAAGGCTCGAGAGCGTGGCGAGCGTGCGAGCGTCACGATGCGGGGAAGCACGCCGGTGTGGAGGCGGCGCGTCGAAACGTAATACGCGGGCAAACGCTCGCACTCGCTCCACCTCGCGCTCCTTCGCTTCTCGATGACGTACTGTCTTCAGCGGTACGACGGATAATTTCTGCGGGACTTTTTTTTCTTTCTTGCACTGCAATCTACACGCTCGTGCTTACATTATTTGCTACCAGACAATCGTTTCCTTTTATAACGAATTTTCTTTATGCAATACTTCATGTACAATAGTACAAAACAGAAATATCTAAGAATATCCTTTAACAGCTTTGATATGAAGATAAAGCATATTCTGGTTATGCTGTAAAAGTCTTCAAAATAATATATTAGTCAATTAATTGACATAATATCAAGAAGTCTCTCATTTTTATAATTCAATAGCTTCGTGATTAATTCGCAATAATTAATATGCTCCGTAATAATTATTATCTTTCTGGTTAGAAGGATTGCTATAAACATAGAATGATCATTACGAATTTGATTGAAAACAAACAAACAACCCACTAAAAACTTTTCTAAGTCTTAAAATGTTAAATTAATCATTATTACAAATTAATTTAAAAAAATTAAAAAACGTACACACACAAAACATGGCTGAAACGACCAATAGTGCAATACTTCACATAATACGCACTGAAGCATTGTGCTCGAGTTCCTTTTCTTCCCAGACTGCTTGTGTGACGTCTGTGGCTAGGCCCCGTCCACTTTTTTCGCATTTTGTGAAATTTCCATTCGCCTGCCGCCTGACGAAGCGAATAGTCTGAGTCACCTGAGGAGCAGTCGTACCAGCGCACACCCACACCCGACCCGACCCGACCCGACCCAAGCCGACCCGACGCTTGCTGAAACGTGCGCGTCTACCTCCTGCTTCAAAGGCGGTAAGGAGTGAGGAAGGGGCGATCGACAGCGAAGATGGGAGCGTTAGGTTCCGCTTGCAACGAGGACGATTGATAAGAAAAATATATATTTTAACGAGTACATTCGTACAATCGTAGGGGAATTTTTTTTAGAAGCAAATATGTAAGTAGATACGATATTTATCAATTATTTTGAACACGCTTTTCATGTCTGGAAACATTTAAAGATGCTGTAATGTTTTTTATCAAAATCAGTCTTGACGACTAAAGAAATAATGAGTGTACACTCTTGGAAACATAAAGTTTCGCGTCGAAAATGCCTTTGCGCGATAGGTTGATGGCTCTGGACATCCCTGCTTGCCGACAGCTCTATCTACCGTTTATTTCCGAAACTACGTTCTGTTGATCGTGCTATGAAGATTTAATTTATCTTATTGGAGAGAGTTTAAAATATTTTAAAATCCATTGACAGCAAATAGTTGTAGCACTAAGGAAAAAGACTTTCGTGATTACTGCCAGTAAAACTCAACTGACATAAATTTTTGTAAACGTAATGTTTCTTTCAAGTTTCGTTAATATAAAATGTATTAGTATAAGACGACCGCAGCGAGGGGGAAGAATGGCTCAGTATCAAAGTGTTGTTCGAGCACTCGTGAAGTTGCGGGTTCGGTTCCCACCCTACATAGATATTTCATCCATTCTACAATGCAATAAAATCCACTAAATTATTATATTTTACATTTGTCGTGACAATTTTATGCATAAAACGGTGAAAATTCGCTGTCGCGAAGAAGGCGAATATTTCAATTGTGAAGAAATTAGAAAATTGATCCTTTATACTATAAATTAAAAATTGTGCATTATGTTGTGGGGAGATAACAATAATATATGTTAGTCCTGTACCGCACGTGCAATTTTATAACGATTTAGTTATCGCAGCGGTGTTTGGACCGCCCGTAATGTTTTGGAGATTTCTAAAAGATTTCAGCCAGCACCCGCGATTTTTCTTTTCTTATTAGTGGCAAACACTGCAGACCTTATGCTCCTTTTGACCTTGCTGTTCGAAAAACACGAAGTGCTGCGAGGTCAGATTCAAGTCCGTAGTAATCCGTGAGACTTACGAGAGAAATCGATAAATCTCTCTCAAACAAAAAGAAATGAGTATTATGTCCACTCGTCTTATGAACTCATATATCTGTACCAGCAACAATGACATCGCTAATATGGTAGACTGGCAGTCTGATGTCAAACTAGAAGCAGTCATATTATTCGTGTTTAATTTTTGGTTAGAAATTGCTTTTGAATAAAAAAAACGCTATGTTCGTTCCATTATTTGTTATTTACAATCTATATATTTTTTGTGATAAAAAGAACTTCAATACACATAATGGATTCTACTTACATAGAAATAGATGCTTTGTATGATATTGTAATGAACTTCGAATAGCATGACAAATCCTAGAATATTTTCCCTTCAAAAATTCGTTATCTCGCAAATTGTATTTTGATTTTTTTTTACTTCACAGCTATTGAAATCTCAATAACCCACATAAACTAAGCCTCCCAACATGAAGCAAAGATTCTCAGAAAGATCCGATGCATCAGAATCAATGAAGCCACACCATATTACATTCCAAAACATTTTTATTTACTTCAGTGTAGACATTGGATATCAAGCCTTCTCACACTAAGGAATTATTTAATTACAGAACATGCAAATCTCCATTCATCTTTATTTCACATGTTATATCAATAGCATAAGGGAGGCTATGCACAGAATTAAAAAAAAATTATATATAGTAGCTATCAAGTTAGAAATAACAAGTTATATAAAAGCAAACAAGAAAATGCCCAAACGGTGATTGTTAATGAATATTACAGATACCAAACACAAGTTCATTCGTCTTGTCAGTATATCACTATTAATTGTGATATCTGTTTACAACGAAATTCATTTCGAGCTTTTAAGAGTTCCATTGGTGTTTCTATTCGATGTAAAAAAATTGGTAAAAATTTTTTAGATACGTAATAATTTTAATGTTATTTTCATCGCAATTTTAAGTACTCATTATCTATAAGATTATATATGAACGCTTATTTTTATCTTTGGTCTCTCGAACCGCTGTTTTGCATGAATGCTGCTCTCTCTTGTTATAACATTCCTTAATCGCAATCGAGAATTTTGCTTAATTATGCATAACATGACGCGACATTATTTAGCATGTTGTAATTTTGTTGATTATAATGGCACTGTAGAATGAATTAAAATATCTACGTAGACTGGAAGCGAACCCTTACTTCACGAGTTCTAGAAACACCACTCTCGACACTGGGCCATTCTTTCGCCCTTCTCATACATCTCTTATAGACAACACATTGTTAATAGTGTAATGAAACTTGAGCAAAATCACGTTACCAAGTTAATGTCAGTTCCTGTCTTACTGGCTGCAATCACGAAAGCTTTTTCGCTATTGTACTGTTACGATATCTAGCCTAGACGCGGTCCTTAAAGTATTTACGCTTCCAATAAAATAAATTTAATTTAGATCGACGTATCACGAACGTAGTTTCGAAAATACGTATAGATTAGCGCTGCCGGCAAGCTAGGATGTCCAGCAGCCATCAACCTCATCGGCGCAAGGCATTTTCGACGCGAAAACTTTATGTTCAAGAGTGTACATAATTCAACAGGTCTTTTACTACCAAAGATTGATCGAAAAAGTTGCATTACCATTAATGCAACACATGAATTTAGTACAAATATTTTATGGCGGGCGGCCCTCTTTTCCTCGCCTTATTTCCATGAATCGCTTCGTGTCCTACATAGCTAACACTAGCTTCAGTCAGCAATTTAGTACATACGCGCAGAAGAGGAATCTAGACGACAAGCGACAATCAAAACATATTTTCATTTCTCAGTCCGCAATCGAAATCTCGTTTCATTAATGTTTTATTGTTGCCAGGTTTGCAGGCACTGTGACGCAACCATAGTGGACATGGCGCGCGCTGCGTAGTTCCCTTCCAAAGCCGTTTCGGCGCATCGTAAATGAGACAGATTAGTAGACACTGCGTCC